AACTCGTCGTTCTCCGCTGACAGGACCACCTCTCTCAGGTCTTTGCTGACCCCGGGGACTCTGGACAGGTCGATCCTGTTGTTGTTGAGGCCGAGCAGCTCGTGGACCATCGCCTGGTAGGTCCACTGCAACACAGCGAAAGCTCGTAAACACTTCACACAGACACACAACCAGTGGATTTATGATTTGCCATCAAATTAAAGTGACAAATGAGCTGCAGAGGATGTGAAAGATGACAGGATTATTAAAAGTGCAAAATGATTTCCTCATCGATGTCACAGAGGACAGGTCACCTGATTGAGCAGCGGCGTGATGGCATCGTCGCTGCGGTCCAGGATCAGCAGCAGAGGAGGAACTTCAGTCTTCCTGAAGTCAAACAGCTCGTACTCCTTCGTGATGATTTGCTGACAACAAACAAATAAAATACTGAAGAATAAAAGTACTACTCAGAGTACTGCTTGAGGAAAAGTGTTAACAGCTGAGGCTCGAGTGTTTAAACCAAAGTGCTCAAGTTACAGCTCAGAGCCGACGTCATCTTTGAACAGCCAACAGGACACAAAATAACCTGTAGTGGCATTAAAAGCACTTTTCAGTGATGACGTGTGTGAGGTCGTGTGTGATGTCGTGTGTGAGGTCGTGTGTGAGGTTGTGCGTGATGACGTGTGCGATGACGTGTGTGATGACGTTGCTGTGGACACCTTGACGCTCTCCGCGAGCCGCTTGGACATGTCTGAGGACAGCTGGTAGCGGATCATCGGACATTTCTTCAGAGCAAGCAGGACGGAGGTCAGTCCCTGAGTGCAGCGTGCCAACATGGAGGGTTCCCAGCTCCGCCCCTAAAACACACACAGGTGATGTGAGCGTGTGGAGCTGTTTAGGGCGGAGCTCTGACAGCTGAGGGCCGTGTGGTTCTTACCCGAGTGACTCCCTGCAGGTTCAAGGAGAACAGGTGAGGATTCACAGCAATGAAGTCTCCGTAGAACTCCTGCAGACACACACACACACACACACAGACACACACACACACACGCACACAGACACACACACACACACGCACACACACAGACACACACACAAACCACCACAGTAAGCTCCTCCTCCATCTGTGACTGTCAGCATGTCAGCTGACACTTGGAGAGATGATGATGTAGCACTGATGGTCATGCAGGTCAAACTGATGTTAATAGTAAGGAAGTCTTTCATGTTACATTCATAACCGCAGCATGTCGGGCTGCGTGTTACTGATGTCATCAAATGAAGCCGTCACAGAGGAACAGCTGAGTGCAGCTCTTCAACTTAAACTCTGATTATAAACAAGCATTTGTTGTATTATTAGAAGAAATGTTTAATCAGTGAAATAATGATCTGTCCACAGATCGAAGGTTTCCACATGTCAGACATGAATCACAGTTAACTGGATCCAGCCTGAAAATCACAAACGTGCAGCCGTTCACTGTTCCCTGATCAGATGGAAACACCAGCAGCTGTTTTCCTGCTCCTGATCTCACTCTCAGCTGCTCCTTTGACTCAAACCTCATAATTAGTTTAAAAGAACCCAACGAAGCAAACGGTCGAGCTCACAGGATTCATGCTGGTTAATGAAACAATGAGAAAATGACACAAAGATTTAACCCTGCAGCATCAGCTGACCTCTCTCTGCAACAAGGAGGTGAAGACAGAAAAAGACCCTGGACTAATATTATTATATTAATGTTGTTAAGATGTATTTTGAGTCAAGTTCAGCTGAAAATGAGCCGCCATGACTGACAGAGAGATCTTACATCATGTAGAAATGTTAAACCCCCACGCTTCCTGGGACGTCCTCACACTCACCTGGACTTCAGCCACCACTTCCTGTTCATCAGCCTCAGCCAAGGCCTTGATCTCACTCTTACTGATCACGTTGCTAAAGTCTGAAACACACACACACACACACACACAGTTGATGGACTTCAGGTACAAACAAACTTCTGCCCCAAACCAAAGCTGACACGTCCACAGCTGTAAGTGGAAGATACCTCACATGTGATGACAGCGTCACCCTGTTTAATCAGACTGGTGTCATTAAAAGCAGCAGGACTCACTTTTAGCAGCCCCTCTTAAATGTGTATAACAAATTTTCTGATAAGATCGCTGATCTCTAGGATTCTGCAGCAAAGCTAAACTCAGTTTCGTATCTTAGCTTCCGAGCTATGTTTGAACTGTCCGAGGACGACGAGTGCCAAACCAGCAACCCTGTTCTCCCCTCACTCCAGCCCAAACTTACAGATGAAGTAGACACTGTACTTGGGCCTCCTCAGCTCCTGGATCAGGTGCTCCACGTTCTCCTGCAGCAAGCACACAAACACACAGTTGCAGATGGTGTTACCTCACACACAGACACACACACAGTTACTCAGAGGGCGGTTTGTACCTTGGTGGGCCGCAAGAAGCAGATGGCTTTAAGGTGCTTCATGTTATCCCTGTTCTGAGAGTCAATCCGCTCAAACAGGTAAACCTCCTTCTGCAGGATCTCAGACTGAGTGTACACCACGCTCACTATACTGGTCTGAACACACACACACACACACACACACACACACACACCATCAGACACAGTAACGTTGCTGTAAACACTGCTGAGCACCAGCACCGCTAACAGTCCTGGTCGGTCCTCACCGTCTCCTTGTCCATGAGCAGCACCTTCATCCCGGGCCCGCTGATCTCGATCATCTTGGAGATGTACTGCTTCACCGCGAGCGTCACATTCATGATGGCGACACTCAGAGACCACAAACAAAAACAAATAAACAAAGAGCAGCGGCTGCAGAGAGGGTTTTTT